TGTTAGAAAATCTTACAAACTATTTTTATGTAACATCTTTTTTCAATTTTAACCCGAAAAAGGGTTATTTTGCAATTTTTTTAAGAATTTTTTGATTTTTTTAATTTTTTATTATTATTTTTTATTATTTATTGTTGTTTTTTCAATTTTTAGTTAGTAACCTATAATATTGTGTCTAATTTTAAGTGTCATTAAAATCAAATGTTTTTAATTTAATAATTTTAACATTTCTTAATTTAAAACGAAACATCTTCTATTATATTAAGTTAACAAATTTCGAAAAACGACACCGACCCCGTGACCTCGACACCGTCCTTGAAAAATCTATTTTCAATTATTTTCAAATAAATCAAAATACTTTGCATATATGCTGTTAGAAAATGTTACAAACTATTTTTATGTAACATCTTTTTTCAATTTTAACCCGAAAAAGGGTTATTTTTCAATTTTAACCCGAAAAAGGGTTATTTTGCAATTTTTTAAGAATTTTTTGATTTTTTAAATTTTTTATTATTATTTTTTATTATTTATTGTTGTTTTTTCAATTTTTAGTTAGTAACCTATAATATTGTGTCTAATTTTAAGTGTCATTTAAATCAAATGTTTTTAACTTAATAATTTTAACATTTCTTAATTTAAAACGAAACATCTTCTATTATATTAAGTTAACAAATTTCGAAAAACGACACCGACCCCGTGACCTCGACACCGTCCTTGAAAAATCTATTTTCAATTATTTTCAAATAAATCAAAATACTTTGCATATATGCTGTTAGAAAATCTTACAAACTATTTTTATGTAACATCTTTTTTCAATTTTAACCCGAAAAAGGGTTATTTTGCAATTTTAACCCGAAAAAGGGTTATTTTTTAATTTTTTAAGAATTTTTTGATTTTTTTAATTTTTTATTATTATTTTTTATTATTTATTGTTGTTTTTTCAATTTTTAGTTAGTAACCTATAATATTGTGTCTAATTTTAAGTGTCATTAAAATCAAATGTTTTTAACTTAATAATTTTAACATTTCTTAATTTAAAACGAAACATCTTCTATTATATTAAGTTAACAAATTTCGAAAAACGACACCGACCCCGTGACCTCGACACCGTCCTTGAAAAATCTATTTTCAATTATTTTCAAATAAATCAAAATACTTTGCATATATGCTGTTAGAAAATCTTACAAACTATTTTTATGTAACATCTTTTTTCAATTTTAACCCGAAAAAGGGTTATTTTGCAATTTTTTAAGAATTTTTTGATTTTTTAAATTTTTTATTATTATTTTTTATTATTTATTGTTGTTTTTTCAATTTTTAGTTAGTAACCTATAATATTGTGTCTAATTTTAAGTGTCATTAAAATCAAATGTTTTTAACTTAATAATTTTAACATTTCTTAATTTAAAACGAAACATCTTCTATTATATTAAGTTAACAAATTTCGAAAAACGACACCGACCCCGTGACCTCGACACCGTCCTTGAAAAATCTATTTTCAATTATTTTCAAATAAATCAAAATACTTTGCATATATGCTGTTAGAAAATCTTACAAACTATTTTTATGTAACATCTTTTTTCAATTTTAACCCGAAAAAGGGTTATTTTGCAATTTTTTAAGAATTTTTTGATTTTTTTAATTTTTTATTATTATTTTTTATTATTTATTGTTGTTTTTTCAATTTTTAGTTAGTAACCTATAATATTGTGTCTAATTTTAAGTGTCATTAAAATCAAATGTTTTTAACTTAATAATTTTAACATTTCTTAATTTAAAACGAAACATCTTCTATTATATTAAGTTAACAAATTTCGAAAAACGACACCGACCCCGTGACCTCGACACCGTCCTTGAAAAATCTATTTTCAATTATTTTCAAATAAATCAAAATACTTTGCATATATGCTGTTAGAAAATCTTACAAACTATTTTTATGTAACATCTTTTTTCAATTTTAACCCGAAAAAGGGTTATTTTTCAATTTTAACCCGAAAAAGGGTTATTTTTTAATTTTTTAAGAATTTTTTGATTTTTTAATTTTTTATTATTATTTTTTATTATTTATTGTTGTTTTTTCAATTTTTAGTTAGTAACCTATAATATTGTGTCTAATTTTAAGTGTCATTAAAATCAAATGTTTTTAACTTAATAATTTTAACATTTCTTAATTTAAAACGAAACATCTTCTATTATATTAAGTTAACAAATTTCGAAAAACGACACCGACCCCGTGACCTCGACACCGTCCTTGAAAAATCTATTTTCAATTATTTTCAAATAAATCAAAATACTTTGCATATATGCTGTTAGAAAATCTTACAAACTATTTTTATGTAACATCTTTTTTCAATTTTAACCCGAAAAAGGGTTATTTTTCAATTTTAACCCGAAAAAGGGTTATTTTGCAATTTTTTAAGAATTTTTTGATTTTTTAAATTTTTTATTATTATTTTTTATTATTTATTGTTGTTTTTTCAATTTTTAGTTAGTAACCTATAATATTGTGTCTAATTTTAAGTGTCATTAAAATCAAATGTTTTTAACTTAATAATTTTAACATTTCTTAATTTAAAACGAAACATCTTCTATTATATTAAGTTAACAAATTTCGAAAAACGACACCGACCCCGTGACCTCGACACCGTCCTTGAAAAATCTATTTTCAATTATTTTCAAATAAATCAAAATACTTTGCATATATGCTGTTAGAAAATCTTACAAACTATTTTTATGTAACATCTTTTTTCAATTTTAACCCGAAAAAGGGTTATTTTTCAATTTTAACCCGAAAAAGGGTTATTTTGCAATTTTTTAAGAATTTTTTGATTTTTTAAATTTTTTATTATTATTTTTTATTATTTATTGTTGTTTTTTCAATTTTTAGTTAGTAACCTATAATATTGTGTCTAATTTTAAGTGTCATTTAAATCAAATGTTTTTAACTTAATAATTTTAACATTTCTTAATTTAAAACGAAACATCTTCTATTATATTAAGTTAACAAATTTCGAAAAACGACACCGACCCCGTGACCTCAACACCGTCCTTGAAAAATCTATTTTCAATTATTTTCAAATAAATCAAAATACTTTGCATATATGCTGTTAGAAAACCTTACAAACTATTTTTATGTAACATCTTTTTTCAATTTTAACCCGAAAAAGGGTTATTTTGCAATTTTAACCCGAAAAAGGGTTATTTTTTAATTTTTTAAGAATTGTTTGATTTTTTTAATTTTTTATTATTATTTTTTATTATTTATTGTTGTTTTTTCAATTTTTAGTTAGTAACCTATAATATTGTGTCTAATTTTAATTGTCATTACAATCAAATGTTTTTAACTTAATGTTTTTAACATTTCTTAATTTAAAACGAAACATCTTCTATTATATTAAGTTAACAAATTTCGAAAAACGACACCGACCCCGTGACCTCAACACCGTCCTTGAAAAATCTATTTTCAATTATTTTCAAATAAATCAAAATACTTTGCATATATGCTGTTAGAAAATCTTACAAACTATTTTTATGTAACATCTTTTTTCAAATTTAACCCGAAAAAGGGTTATTTTTCAATTTTAACCCGAAAAAGGGTTATTTTTTAATTTTTTTAAGAATTTTTTGATTTTTTTAATTTTTTATTATTATTTTTTATTATTTATTGTTGTTTTTTCAATTTTTAGTTAGTAACCTATAATATTGTGTCTAATTTTAAGTGTCATTAAAATCAAATGTTTTTAACTTAATAATTTTAACATTTCTTAATTTAAAACGAAACATCTTCTATTATATTAAGTTAACAAATTTCGAAAAACGACACCGACCCCGTGACCTCGACACCGTCCTTGAAAAATCTATTTTCAATTATTTTCAAATAAATCAAAATACTTTGCATATATGCTGTTAGAAAATCTTACAAACTATTTTTATGTAACATCTTTTTTCAATTTTAACCCGAAAAAGGGTTATTTTGCAATTTTTTTAAGAATTTTTTGATTTTTTTAATTTTTTATTATTATTTTTTATTATTTATTGTTGTTTTTTCAATTTTTAGTTAGTAACCTATAATATTGTGTCTAATTTTAAGTGTCATTAAAATCAAATGTTTTTAACTTAATAATTTTAACATTTCTTAATTTAAAACGAAACATCTTCTATTATATTAAGTTAACAAATTTCGAAAAACGACACCGACCCCGTGACCTCGACACCGTCCTTGAAAAATCTATTTTCAATTATTTTCAAATAAATCAAAATACTTTGCATATATGCTGTTAGAAAATGTTACAAACTATTTTTATGTAACATCTTTTTTCAATTTTAACCCGAAAAAGGGTTATTTTTCAATTTTAACCCGAAAAAGGGTTATTTTGCAATTTTTTAAGAATTTTTTGATTTTTTAAATTTTTTATTATTATTTTTTATTATTTATTGTTGTTTTTTCAATTTTTAGTTAGTAACCTATAATATTGTGTCTAATTTTAAGTGTCATTTACATCAAATGTTTTTAACTTAATAATTTTAACATTTCTTAATTTAAAACGAAACATCTTCTATTATATTAAGTTAACAAATTTCGAAAAACGACACCGACCCCGTGACCTCAACACCGTCCTTGAAAAATCTATTTTCAATTATTTTCAAATAAATCAAAATACTTTGCATATATGCTGTTAGAAAACCTTACAAACTATTTTTATGTAACATCTTTTTACAATTTTAACCCGAAAAAGGGTTATTTTGCAATTTTAACCCGAAAAAGGGTTATTTTTTAATTTTTTTAAGAATTTTTTGATTTTTTTAATTTTTTATTATTATTTTTTATTATTTATTGTTGTTTTTTCAATTTTTAGTTAGTAACCTATAATATTGTGTCTAATTTTAATTGTCATTACAATCAAATGTTTTTAACTTAATGTTTTTAACATTTCTTAATTTAAAACGAAACATCTTCTATTATATTAAGTTAACAAATTTCGAAAAACGACACCGACCCCGTGACCTCAACACCGTCCTTGAAAAATCTATTTTCAATTATTTTCAAATAAATCAAAATACTTTGCATATATGCTGTTAGAAAATCTTACAAACTATTTTTATGTAACATCTTTTTTCAAATTTAACCCGAAAAAGGGTTATTTTGCAATTTTTTAAGAATTTTTTGATTTTTTAAATTTTTTATTATTATTTTTTATTATTTATTGTTGTTTTTTCAATTTTTAGTTAGTAACCTATAATATTGTGTCTAATTTTAAGTGTCATTAAAATGAAATGTTTTTAACTTAATAATTTTAACATTTCTTAATTTAAAACGAAACATCTTCTATTATATTAAGTTAACAAATTTCGAAAAACGACACCGACCCCGTGACCTCGACACCGTCCTTGAAAAATCTATTTTCAATTATTTTCAAGTAAATCAAAATACTTTGCATATATGCTGTTAGAAAACCTTACAAACTATTTTTATGTAACATCTTTTTTCAATTTTAACCCGAAAAAGGGTTATTTTGCAATTTTTTTAAGAATTTTTTGATTTTTTTAATTTTTTATTATTATTTTTTATTATTTATTGTTGTTTTTTCAATTTTTAGTTAGTAACCTATAATATTGTGTCTAATTTTAAGTGTCATTAAAATCAAATGTTTTTAACTTAATAATTTTAACATTTCTTAATTTAAAACGAAACATCTTCTATTATATTAAGTTAACAAATTTCGAAAAACGACACCGACCCCGTGACCTCGACACCGTCCTTGAAAAATCTATTTTCAATTATTTTCAAATAAATCAAAATACTTTGCATATATGCTGTTAGAAAATGTTACAAACTATTTTTATGTAACATCTTTTTTCAATTTTAACCCGAAAAAGGGTTATTTTTCAATTTTAACCCGAAAAAGGGTTATTTTTTAATTTTTTTAAGAATTTTTTGATTTTTTTAATTTTTTATTATTATTTTTTATTATTTATTGTTGTTTTTTCAATTTTTAGTTAGTAACCTATAATATTGTGTCTAATTTTAAGTGTCATTAAATCAAATGTTTTTAACTTAATAATTTTAACATTTCTTAATTTAAAACGAAACATCTTCTATTATATTAAGTTAACAAATTTCGAAAAACGACACCGACCCCGTGACCTCGACACCGTCCTTGAAAAATCTATTTTCAATTATTTTCAAATAAATCAAAATACTTTGCATATATGCTGTTAGAAAATCTTACAAACTATTTTTATGTAACATCTTTTTTCAATTTTAACCCGAAAAAGGGTTATTTTTCAATTTTAACCCGAAAAAGGGTTATTTTGCAATTTTTTAAGAATTTTTTGATTTTTTGAATTTTTATTATTATTTTTTATTATTTATTGTTGTTTTTTCAATTTTTAGTTAGTAACCTATAATATTGTGTCTAATTTTAAGTGTCATTAAAATCAAATGTTTTTAACTTAATAATTTTAACATTTCTTAATTTAAAACGAAACATCTTCTATTATATTAAGTTAACAAATTTCGAAAAACGACACCGACCCCGTGACCTCGACACCGTCCTTGAAAAATCTATTTTCAATTATTTTCAAATAAATCAAAATACTTTGCATATATGCTGTTAGAAAATCTTACAAACTATTTTTATGTAACATCTTTTTTCAATTTTAACCCGAAAAAGGGTTATTTTTCAATTTTAACCCGAAAAAGGGTTATTTTGCAATTTTTTAAGAATTTTTTGATTTTTTAAATTTTTTATTATTATTTTTTATTATTTATTGTTGTTTTTTCAATTTTTAGTTAGTAACCTATAATATTGTGTCTAATTTTAATTGTCATTACAATCAAATGTTTTTAACTTAATATTTTTAACATTTCTTAATTTAAAACGAAACATCTTCTATTATATTAAGTTAACAAATTTCGAAAAACGACACCGACCCCGTGACCTCGACACCGTCCTTGAAAAATCTATTTTCAATTATTTTCAAATAAATCAAAATACTTTGCATATATGCTGTTAGAAAATGTTACAAACTATTTTTATGTAACATCTTTTTTCAATTTTAACCCGAAAAAGGGTTATTTTTCAATTTTAACCCGAAAAAGGGTTATTTTGCAATTTTTTAAGAATTTTTTGATTTTTTAAATTTTTTATTATTATTTTTTATTATTTATTGTTGTTTTTTCAATTTTTAGTTAGTAACCTATAATATTGTGTCTAATTTTAATTGTCATTACAATCAAATGTTTTTAACTTAATGTTTTTAACATTTCTTAATTTAAAACGAAACATCTTCTATTATATTAAGTTAACAAATTTCGAAAAACGACACCGACCCCGTGACCTCGACACCGTCCTTGAAAAATCTATTTTCAATTATTTTCAAATAAATCAAAATACTTTGCATATATGCTGTTAGAAAATCTTACAAACTATTTTTATGTAACATCTTTTTTCAATTTTAACCCGAAAAAGGGTTATTTTTTAATTTTAACCCGAAAAAGGGTTATTTTTTAATTTTTTTAAGAATTTTTTGATTTTTTTAATTTTTTATTATTATTTTTTATTATTTATTGTTGTTTTTTCAATTTTTAGTTAGTAACGTATAATATTGTGTCTAATTTTAAGTGTCATTAAAATCAAATGTTATTAACTTAATATTTTTAACATTTCTTAATTTAAAACGAAACATCTTCTATTATATTAAGTTAACAAATTTCGAAAAACGACACGGACCCCGTGACCTCGACACCGTCCTTGAAAAATCTGTTTTCAATTATTTTCAAATAAATCAAAATACTTTGCATATATGCTGTTAGAAAATCTTACAAACAGTTTTTTTTATGAGTCCAAAAAAATTAGGGACTTAGAAAAATATTGATTTCTTTATTTTTAATACTTAATTTTCATTTACAATAATGTAAAGTTATAATATGTTTTAACTTATTCATCGCATCCATTCTGCAATTTTCGTAAGTTGTTTTATTTCTTATTAATTTTTAAATTAATTTTTTATAATTTAGTTTTATATGAGTGATGTTATTAATAAATTATTATAATTTATTATATTATTTTCTTTATGTTACGCAGCCGTTACTACTCAGCGCAGCCAGTTTACAGTTTTTGTTATTACTTGATTATATTTTATATATTTTTTTTAATGAGGGAGCATATTTTATATATTTTTTTCTTTTAAATGGTTTTTTAATCCTTTCTATGCCATATGATCAGTATAATGATAATTATAATATTTTTTATGGCGCTGCCGTTACTGTTCAGCGCAGCCATTTCCAATTCAATGAATTAATTTATTTATAAAGTAGAGTTAGTAGATTTCTTCGTAGTCGAATTTTTTTAAAACATGTGTTAAATATTATTGTAATACTTCTTGGTAAACAATGTTTCTTACATAAATTTCTTTTTCATTGCCTATCTTTTTTTTTATTCCTTTTTCGCTATGTGTAATACTTGAATTTTTATATAATAATACTTTAAGATTATATTTTGAAGTTACTCTTGATAAAGCAACATATAATTGTCACGGTCTAAAAACATGTGAAGGAAGGTATATGCCTACTTTTTGGAAAGATTGGCCTTGAGATTTGTTGATTGTTAAAGCAAATCCAAGCCTTATTGGAAAATTGCTTTCTTGACATTTGAAATGGTATTTCTTCGTTACACGGAGAGAAAAATTAGGTTGTGTGGACTGGAGACTTAAGTTAAAACTACTTGAGTGACTCAAGTAACGATGCCTACAGTTAAAGCAAAATTGGTCGCACGGTAGTTTTGACCGTGCGGTCCCAAATAGTATTAATGTGCCATTAAAAAGTGATATTTACATTCATTTAGAAAGTTGAGGTTATTCGTGTAACAAGTAATATCAATATGTTAATATCAATAGCGAATTCAAGGAAAAATTATGCCAATTTATTTATTTGTAAAATATTTAAATAAAAATTTTGCACTTCGAAACTTACAAATTTGTCATTTATCGTATTCGAAGTGTGTTATGGTTTGCTGACAAAATAATTAAATACTTATTAATGAATGCGTTCACAAAAGTAATGTAAAAATAATAATTAATGTACGCTTTAAATGTTGAAATACGACTACGCAATGTGCTAACTTTTTATTATATGTATAACGAGAAAAGTGTCTAAAACTGAAAATCCAACACACAACATAACTTCAAAAAGTGTTTCTTTTTATTTTTACATAATTTTTCAGTTAATTTGAAAAACCTTTGGATTCAGAATTGCTTAAAAACTATATTGTGGACCTTATTATTTCCTTTAAATCATCAAAAAAATGTTAATAATTGATATTTTTTTAAAAATCAAACCTAACCTAGAAAAAATTAATAAATATAATATTCTATTAATATAATAATTATTATTTATCAATTTAGAAAAAAACTCATCCATTTTAATATTTTTACCAATAAAATAACATATAAGATGAGCAATACGAACAAAAAAAACAAACAATATAAAATAAACAGTAACTTCCAATGCAGGAAAAAATTACTTCACAATCGCGTGTGTGAATAGCGCCACGCTGCTAAGCAAAGCTGATTGGTCAAACCGTCTGTCGGTATTATTTGAGAACATTATAGCCCTAACTTGATAGCCAAGTCAAATCTACCGTGCTCTCCAGTTACAAATGCCTTGTTTAATAAAATTGGACCAACGACTTGAAACAAAGCAGTTATCACCTAATTTTTCTCTCCGTGTAGACGGTGACAATGTAATTCGTGGCAAAATTACAATCTCATTTTTATAATTTCTCGTTATTACTTGTGCATGAATAGAAAAACTACCCATTTTAATAACTTTTAGTCTTGTTCCATTACAAAGACCTCTTTCTAAATTAATATTCCTTAAAAGTATCACAATTGCACCAATCTTTAATATTAATTTGTGAGGAGGAAGTTCATTTGGAGTTAAACTATTTAATACTTCAATTGGTATTAAGTTAGTTATTGTGTCACACTTTTCATCTTCTTCAGATGAATCTATACTTAAATATTCTCTAGGTTCACCTGTCATTCGTTTAACAACATCATTATTTAATTCAAATACATCATTATTCCGGAGAACTAGTAATATATGTAAAATCAAACAAGAATCTCTTTATAACGGTTTACTATAGATAATAAAAATAAAAACCGATATTTTAAAAAGTATTTCGATTTATTACGAATATTTTTCTCAAAAATTTGCAAAATCTACATGTGTTTGTGGGACAATTTACATCAATATAATATAATATAATATAATTTAAGATAAAAAAAATATATTATAATATAATATAATTAATATTGTTGTCATAATTATAATAAAAAAAATCTAATATTTAACAATTGTCATTTCATCCTTCAATGAAACTGATCAAAATTAAGATAAATTTTATACAATATTAATAAGATATTAATTTAAAACATAAATTATATATATAATATACATAAACTACAATAAGTAAACAACAATAAGTACAATTTTAACCGAGCGTGCGTTAGCGAGCGAGGAATACATCGCTAGTTTTTAAATTAAACTATCTCCTTAACTCGAACATTCTCCATCGCAAAAATTTCAGTGAGTCTTTATTTAGATCTAACTCAAATATTCTCTCAAGTTTCGATTTTTTTCGTTTTTGCGTCGAAAGAGTTATAAACGATTTAAAATCGAAAAAATCAACAAAGTGCCAATTTTAGTTTCAAGATTTTTAAAATTTATAAATGAAAAGAATAAAAAGCGACAAGAAAATCAAAAAGTTTATCGTAAATACTTTACATTCGGTTAGTTTTTATTTAATTTAATAATTTCTCTTTTTTGTAATTAACTCATGAAAATTTCAAAATTAGGTTATTTGACAGACCAACTTTAAAAACATATTTTATCTGTTTTCCTAATTTTCCCACTAGTTTAATCATAAAATAATAATAAAATAATTAATTCTAAATAACGTCCAATAATTTTTTTAACACTTTTATGAATTATTCTATGTTTTTTAATATAATTTCTGATGACTAAAAAAAAGACAGTTTACCGCAGTCTGATTTATGCAAATTATTCGAATTCAGAAATTTAGTAAATGTTTTAAATAATTAAATTATCGAAGAATTAAATTGAAATATTTTTAAAAAAAATTAATTTAGTAAAAATTTTAAAAATAATTCAAAATTTAAAAAAGTTGCAGATAAATTTTTTAGAAATAATTGAATTTTTAGAAATTTTAAATTATAATTGTTGTAAATTTGAATTGATGAAAATAATAAAAAATATTTATATATAATAAACAATAATTGACTTTTAGAGAATTTTTAATTAAGAAATATTGCTAGTAATTCAATTTTTAAAAAATTGGATTAAAATTTTTCAAACAATTAATTTAGAGAAGAGTTTTAGACAAAAATTTTAGAAATAATTAAAATTTCAGGAGATATGCAATAGAAGTTTTAAAAAATTGAATTACGAAGATTTTTGAAATTATTAATTAAAATTTTTGTAAATTTGAATTGCTAAAGATATTTTATAAAAATCAGATAATAATTGAATTTTAGAGTATTTTAAATTGAAAAATGTTTCAAATAATTGAAATGCCAAGAACTTGATTAAAGCTATTAGAAATAATTATTTCAAGAAAAAAATTTGAGTAAAAGTTTTTAATAATAATATAATTTTAGGAGAGTTTGAATTAAAATTTTAGTAAATTAGAATTTCTAAAAATTGTGAACAAAATTTCAAACAGTAATTGAATTTTGGAGAATTTTTAATTAAAAAATGTTTTCTTTAATTGAATTTTTGAATAATTGGATAAAATTGATTGAAATTATTAATGTAGCAAAGAATTTTAGATTAAAATTTTAGAAATAATTGAATTTTGGAAGAGTTCGAGTTAAGATTTTTAGAAATAATTGAATTTTTGGAGATTTTTAATTAAAATTGTTGCTTTAAAATACTGAATATTTTATTGCTTAAATAAAAGTTCAAAAAATGTTGAGAAAAAAGAAAGTTCCAATTTTTTTAAATATAAAAAAATTGAAAATTTTGCTGAGTTCAATTATTGATAAGTGAATGTTTATTTATAATATCTAAAATTAATAGTCAAATAAATTTGAATAGTTCAAAGACAGAAAGTCAGGGAATTTTTTTCTCAAGTCTTACTGGACACCCTACTTTTAGTTTTGCTTCTTTTTATAAAAGAATTATAATTTTTTACTTTCCCAGATTCCATCAACATTAGATCATGGGATGTTGTTCATACAAGATCGTTAATAAAATTTTATTCCGAAATGATGGAAGAATTACATAAGGGAGTTACAACAACGAAAGATTTTTGGTTAAAGATAAGCGGTTTAATGGCAGTAGAAGGAGTTTTAAAAACATGGATCGAATGCAGAGACATGTTGAAATTACTAATGTATACATACAAGAAAATTTTAGCGATTGCAAACATAACGGGAGACAGTCCTTCATGGATTTATTTCGAAGATATGCATAAAATGATGCACAATAAGCCGAAAACCCCGTGGAACTACTTGTTGCTAGAGGCTATGAGGAAAATGGCAGAGCAAGAGCAGCGAGAAAATGAACTGAAAAGAAAAATGTTATCCATTGTACAACAGTATTTTGATTCGAAAAAAAGAAAATACGAAGATGAAGAAGAATAAGTGTCGTACTTCTTCTTTTTCTTCTCCACACTTCATATCTGTCATCATATATCTTCTCTTATTTTTTATTCGATGTAATGATTGACTTTTATAGTCGTCTTTTTATGTTGCTAAAATTTTATTCTTTATTTTTTTTAAATGAATAATTGAGGCTTCCTATTG